TTCCTTCCTTCCTTCCTTCCTTCCTTCCTTCCTTCCTTCCTTCCTTCCTTCTTCCATTCCTCCCTCCTCTTCCTTCCTCCTTCCTTCTCTTTGTCTTTAAGACAAGGCTTCACTATATATCCCAGGAGGTCTTAAATTCATGATCCTCCTGCCTCAGCCTCTAAGTACTGGGACTACAAGCATGCACTAGCATGTCCGTCAGGAGGGCGTGTATATATACACTGTATCTTGGTAATGAGATTGAACTACTGACTTGCAAAATAATGAGATGGATGGATTGACCCAATGGCCAGGAGTCTAGGCAATGGTTAACTATACAGTCATCATTTAGGTTAGGGAGTTCTAATATTCGAAAACTAACCTACCCAGCCTTCCTAGTTCCTATCCTAAGTTCCTTTCTTTGTGCTCCCCTGCAGCCAGAGAGAATCAAAAAGCTACTTCCCACTGTCTGGCTTCAGCCTCATTCCTGGGCCTGAAGGGAGGCCAGGTAGTCCTTTTACTAGGTCTTTGCTGGCTTCTCTCTAGGAAAATGTGTCCTGCTGGTGCCTCCCACACCCTCCACGGTCAGTCACCTAGTACCTTGTGCAGCCCTCGGCAATCCAACATGGCAGTCAGCTGGTGCAGGCTGGTCTCAGAGGAGTTTAGCAGACTCTGGATGCCAAGAAGGTCTTTCTGCAGCAGGAAGAGGGAAGAGCTGAGCCATAGGGAGTGAGGGACACACAGCTGGCAGAATGCCCCCTCCCAAACCTGGCCAGGGTACAGGTACGAGTGTGGCAGAGGAAAGGGTGGATGGGAGTGGGGGTTCAGCGAGGGCTCCCCTCCTGCTGACACGGTTGCTATGTGTGGCAGTTCCCTTACCTCTGCTGTAGGGAAGAGGGGCACAGCAAACTGCAGCAGGCCTGCGACCTGGATCTGCATGGTGGTCAGCGAGCGCTGGAAGGCGGTCAGCGACTGGGTGGAGAGACCACAGCCTCCCGTGAGAATCCATTCCCCACCAAAGTCCCACAGCTACAAGGAGGCTTGTCCTCCTGTAGCCATGTCACCATCAGGCAAATATATAGGAGGGACAGGCTGTACCCATTGTAAAGGGGTTCTTGAACTCTGGATTCAGGGGACAAGCATAAGAAATTGGATTCCACTGGTTTTGGAACACTGGACTTTAACTCATAGAAGGAAACTCTTCCCTAGCGTTCAGATTTCGAGCCATTTGGCCAACCCAATCACTATGGTAGGATTATGCTTCTTCCCACATCCCTCTGGCTTTTTATGAGCCCCACAGTTCCCTTGCTTCAAGCTACTCAGACTACATGGAGCTTGTGAGAAAAACAGAGCCTTGGGCTCTATCCTCACCGGCACAGCACCAGCAGAATGACCAGCTCTCCAGGAAGGGGTACACTGTGAGCATAGGAGAAAGGTAAAGAATGCAGTAACCAAGAGCAAAGCCCCCTTCAGAAAATAGCTAAGAGACGGACCACAGGGAAGAGATGCCCAGCTGTCTACCATCTTGGTACACGGCAGGGTTCAGGATCCAGAGAGAGGAAGGTGAAGAGGGGCTGTGGGAAGGATGAGGGTGCGCTTGGGGGGGCTGTACCTGCTGGAAGGGGCTGCTTAGGCTCTGACTGCAATGCAGGTAGTAGCGGGTCACCTCTGCAAGGCAACAGCATCGGCGTCAGGAAGCCCACAGGAAACCGGACCCTCTGCCTGCTCAGTGGTCCAGCCCCGCTCCCCTCTTCCCTCAAGCTCCCAAAGAAGGCAGTTATCCAGGAAGTGGTCCAGAAAAACCTAAGTCTGGGTAGGGAGACCCTTGGCGACTGCAGGAAGAGGCAGGATGTAGGTAGCTGGATCATATAGGCTTAGTCTGAGCTTGGGGAATGAATGGCTCTAGGGATAGAGGCCCCAGAATACATTACCTGAACTGATCTGGCTCTGTGTGTTGTTCAAGATGTAGAGGTCAGGAGCCATGCAGAAGTCACTGGTGCCCTGGAGACGGGGAGTGGGGAGAGGAAGGTCAGACCCTCGGGCACTGGGAGGAGCTAGCCAGACTCCTGCTGCCCTGGTCACAGGATCTCTAACTCAGCCCTGGGCAGAATAGAGGCTGGGAGTCTGATGATCAGGTTTGTCTTGCCTCTGTCCTTTCCTACCTGTCACCTTGGGCAACTTACTTTCTGTATCTGAGTAGTCTCACCTATTGTGTAGACCTGATGGCTCTATTCACCTCATGGAGGACCCAGGGGCAGCTGCAGGTGTGAGTCTGGGGTGGGGGTTTCCTTTCATTCTCAGGCTTATTTGCTCTTCTCAGCTGTAGCATCACCCCTGGACACTCTGGTGGCCAACCCCTGGAAGGTCCCCAACTTACAAAACGAAACAGAACCTAACTATGTAGCTGTCCTGGAGTTCACTCTGTAGACCAGGCTGGCCTCGAACTCACAGAGATCTGCTTGCCCTCTGCTTTCTGAAGTGCTGGGATTAAAGGTGTGCATCACTATGCCTGGCTCTGACTTGCCATCTGAAGGGTGAGGCTAGGAAAAAGTTCATCTTGGGGCCTTAGGGGACAGGCTTCCGTTGCTGAGACCACAGGCAGGAGGTCAGAGAATAGGACTGGAGTTGGAGCATGGGCTGGCTAAGGGGCCACTCAGGTCAGGGTGACTGCATGAAAGAGGAGTGGCGGGCGGAGCCTAGAACTGACATGGGGTGGAATGGGGAACTGGAGAAAAGGGGCACTCCACCTCTCAGAGCAGCAGGGGCAAACTCTGGTTCCTGTGCCCCGTACTAAGGGGCTACCCACTTCTCTGGTGCATGATTCCCGAGCTTGGAAATCCTGCAGGTGGTCCTGCAACATGAGGGGTACTCTGTCAATATGCAGCATCACCCCTCACCCACTGAATCAATATCAGGTTTTGAGCTCTTTCTAGGTGCAGGCACTGAGGTCTGGTACTTGTCAGGGGCGTATATTTGTGTCTTAGTACTGATAGTAGAAAATCTGTGTTGGGGGACATTGGGGAGCAATAGGCTCCTCTAGATTCAAAATGTCTCCAGAGTACCCTGACCTTCATTCATCTCTTCCCCAACACCGACACGACCACCCTCCCCCCAACATACGCGATCCCCCACATGCACTCAGGATCGCAGAGGATGGTTTTACACGCAAACCACCAGCATACATAATAGATCAGCGAGCCTATTATCAGAGCTGCAGCACCAGCAGGCCCGGCGCTGCGCCCTCACCCCTTGGCTGGAATAGCAGAGATGGGAAACCGGGTTGGGGTTGCTGGAGAGAATAATGGTAAGTGGAGTCACACCTCAAGAAGCCTAGGGTCCAAAGACGGGGAACTAGGAACCCCTTTACGAGCTTCACCTATGCTGAGGCTTCGCTTCCTTCTCTGCTTCAGCCAGGCCTGAGCTTTAGTCCACATCTCCTGGGAAAGTGGGCTAAGAAACCGTGGGGTACAGGGCTTACTGTGAGAATCCAGATCTACCAATGAAGGTGATATACACACGGGCATGCACAGGCATACATGTGTACGCATGTATGTGTTCATATAGTATTCTTTCAGTGGTGACTAGGATGTCGGGAAGAAGGTAACTAGTGCAAGTAGGACGGGTAGGAGGAGCTGCCAGAGGCTAGCCCAGGTGAGCTAGCCTAGTGAGCTGGCCCAGGTGATGGCTGAGCCTGTGGGAAGTTCCTGAGTATCTGAAGGAGTCGTGCCTGTGGCCCTCAGACCTGTGAGAACTGTCTTAGAAGCCAAGATGGCTACCACACGTTGAGTAACCCCTGCGTGCTGTCTGAGGCACCAGGTACTGCTCTTCTCCCCGTTTTACACAAGAGAACACTGTGGCGTGAGAACTTCAGTGACTTTCCAGAGGTCCTGGTGCTGGGGAGGGATGAAGGGTTGATGAGGCTAAGGCTAGGGGCTCTAGAAGCTAAGCTCCTGCCTCCGACCCAGGAGGTGGGCCTGCTGCCCCTCAGGCCTGTGTGCTCTGGGAGTGTTCTGTCACCCCTGCAGCAGTCAAAGCAGCTGTGGAGACTCCTCCTGCTTTCTTCCTTCTTGACATTGCCTCTCCTCTGCCCAAAGAGCCCCCAGCACCTAAAAGTTTGTCTGTGGCTCTTACCGACTACAAAGGGATAGCCAGGAAGGCCAGCAGTGGGGGCCTAGGACCACAGGTCTGGAGGCTCTGAGCTTGGGTCCCCAGTTCCCAGCCTTCCCCCAACTCAGCGTGCCCTGGAAGAGTCTCAGGGTCAACACTCTATCCTATGGATGCCCTGCCTGCTGGGCAGGTTGGGGGAAGGGCAACAGTGTGAATCTAGCCCCACTGCTCTCAAAAGAGGCCTCAGAGGGCAGGGCGGCCGTAGAGGAACACAAAAAGCTGTGCACAATGACCCCTTGACAGCTGGTGCCCCGCCTCCACCCGCAGCTCCTCCTGACCCCTTTTCCTATTAAAATGCCACAGCAGCCTCGGCTCTGTCAAAGACCCATTCAGAACCCTCGCACCCGCCTCTCCCGCACAAGGGCCTGACTAAAGGAATTAGGGAAATGGCATGGCTCCCAGCTCCCTGGCATTCCATGGCACCCGGCTGCAGATAAAACGACCCGTGGGTTCCTTGAACGGCGAGATGCCTGATGGGAGAAGCCCCTGCGGGAAGGGTGCCAGCTGCCAAGGGGCAGCTCATGGTGGCAAGCTGGATGCCATTGCTTCTTGGAAAGGCAGAGGCTGCCAGAACCAGGACCCAGTCCCGTAGGCTCAGTACGGAAAGCTTCCCTGTGCCCGCACTTGTCTCTGGAGCAGAGGCAGCCAGCCAGGCAGCTGTGCCCATCACTCCGGGCAGTGGAGCCCCTCCCCACAGTGTTTACAACCTCCCAGCTCCCAAGGCCACCAGGATGCCATGAACACAGCCTGGGCTCCAGCACTGTCTTTTCGACACCAGGCCTTGGTGTGTGGTCACAGCACAGAAAGGGGAGATGAGAGATACCCACTTCTTCTCTGTTTTTGTTGGTTTTGAGACAGGACCTCATGTAACCCGAATTGCATGATCTGCGTCAGTAAGCTTACTAACTGAGCGTCCTCAGCCCTCCCTCTCCCCTTTTACAGCAGTAGAGCTCAAGCCTACAGCTTCTTACTAGTCCAGGGTTCTGCCACTGAGCTATGTTTCCAGTACCATCCCCCCTCAGATTTAGTGTGTGTGTGTGTGTGTGTGTGTGTGTGTGCATGCATGTACCACATGTGTGTCTGGTGTTCTGCTCAAAAGTCAGAAGAAGGCATTTAATCATCTGGAACTGGAGTTATGGATGGCTGCAAGCCACCACATGGGTGCTAGGAATGAAACTTGGGTCCCCTGCAAAGAGTAGCAGGTGCTTTTAGGAGTTGAGCTATCTCTCTAGCTCCACAGCCTCCCGGCCCCTTTATAAGATAGGTCTTACTTAGTAAACTTAAATTCATTCTGTTACTCACAGGCCTTAATTTGCAATCCTGCCTCAGTCTCCGGGGCATCTGGAGCCAAAGATTTGTGTCACCAGAACTGACTGGCTCCTTGGCGCTTCTGCATAGACATCTATCAAAAGTGGCAGAGCCAGGTGGCACCAGGGGCCATTTATCCCATGGGTATGACAGACAAAGCATCCAAGACCAGTGCTCCCAGCCACCCCTAGGGACGCCAGGCAAGGTGTGATGTAGGTAAGTAAGAGCAGGGGCAGACCACAGGGTTGGCTTACAGCCCTCAGAGCAGAGCGGTTCCGTGAAATCATCTAGTGAAGTGTATCTTCTTCAGCATGTATGCAGTTGTATGTGCATGCATGTTCACACAGACATGCAGCAACATACACACATAGAGAGAACAAGCACCTATAACTAGTGATTCACACCATGTCATGATGATCTGCCTACAAGCGGTCTTCCACTGAGGGACTGTCAAGAGGAAACGCCATGTCCCACTGAGTTTGCAGCCCAAGGCACACAGCAAGCCCCACCTGATGAGGGAGGGAGCTCTCAGGCAGCTCAGGTCTAAGATCACTAATTTCTTTTTTTATATATTCTCATATAGGAAGTCTCTCACTTTTCCGTAATATTTGAGACATCACATGCAGAAGCACACATGTATTTCAGAGCACGTGTGAGCATAAGGGCAAAAGACTGCAGGGACAGAAGGTAGGAGATGCCACCTTCTTTGTACCTGGTGTCTGGGGGCAGGTAAAGGAACCCACCCAGCTTCCACCAGGTTAGCTTTCTGCACTCGCACGAAAGCTACCCGGCCACCCACGCGTTCTCCGCATGCCCAAACAAGCAGGTTGTCTTGTCTTGGCTCTGTCCCTGAAGCCCTGTAACTTTGGACAAACCCCTTTCTGTCTCTTAGCCAGGACCAAAGTGAGCCAAGTCTCTTCAGTTCAAGACTCTGGGATGGTAGGTAAGGGACTGAGTCCAAAGGTAGCCTGCTGGGGTCTTTGAATAAGACAGGACAGACGGACTGTCTTGGTCAGACCACCCACCCAAAACCTCCTCTACTTACCACTGCTGCAGCAGTATCAGCAGCCAGAGAAGCCCAGCTGAGGATCAGGGTCAGCACCCCACAGCACAGCATGCTAGGAGAGAGGCAGACACTCAGGGATCTCAGCAGGGTGGAAAGGAGGGAGTCTTCTGGATAGCAGTTATCCTACCAGGATTCAGCATCCTTCTTTCCAGGCATTGCCCTCCCATGTCCACCCCATCTCCGTCATGCATTGACTCCCCCAACCCATCCCATCTCTGCTAACAGCAAGGAGAGGGATGTGGATCCCAGTGTATCCCAGGGTTGAAGAGACCCAGCTGTGACAGTACAGAGAAAGCTGGAGTGTGGGGGGCATGTGACACATGAGGAGCCCCTGCCTGCAAGGGAGTTGGTGCTGAGGAGGGTCATCCTGGCTGCTACCACTCTCAGGGCCTGCCAAGCCCTCTTCTCCCTCTATAGAGGGCCTCTGGCCCAACTCTCTTTGCTTCAGGACCATAAACAGGGCTACTCACGAGGCTAGGAGACACTTGGAGCGCCTGGCCAGTCCCAGGCAGGTGACAAGGCAGATGACCAGGTCCAGAATGAAAAGAAGGAGGTAGGAGAGCCACCTGGGTAAAGGCAAAGAGAAGGTGGGGATCAGTATAACAGAACCCCCACCTTCACACACATTATCTGCTGCTGTTGGGAGGCCAGACCAGCAGCTCAGACCAGCGAGAGCACCGTCCAGAGGCTGTGGGTCCTCGGGCTTGAAGCTGCATCCCAAATTCTCCTACCCCTCGCCTTAATCATCCAGTGGAATACCTAGACCAGTACTGGGCACTAGAACTTTCCATCATGGTGGAAACAGTCTACATCTATACTGTCCACTATTCACAGATGCCTGCTGGGAACCTAAGAACCTGAGGTGTGAATTATGCAAGCAAGAAAATGAAGCCAAGTGTGGTGTCAGACACCTGGAATCCAGCTCTTGGGAGTTCCAGACTAGCCTGGGTTATAGAGCAAACTCAGCTGACTCTCACAAAGATATGAATGTCTCAGTACTTACTATTACTCTCTCTCTCTCTCTCTTGAGGCAGGGTTTCTCTGTATAACAGTCCTGGCTGTCCTGGAACTAATTCTGTAGACCAGGCTGGCCTCGAGCTCACAGAGTTCCACCTGCCTGTGCCTTTTGAGTGCTGGATTTAAAGGCATGTGTTGTCACCACCACCTGGCAATATTACTATTTTTTATGAGGCTGGGGAGCAGGTCTAGGGCCTCGTAGATGCTAACAAGAGTTCTGCCATTGAGCTACACCCCAGCCGCCCAGCCAAATTTTAATGCACTTTGACACACACGGTTGGAAGCGCCCATAGTGGTCCGCACAGCTCTGTCTCTACGGTTCCCTCCCTGCAATCGATCAGGCAGCTCCCGGCTGCTCTGCTTTGTTTCTAGAACCTTCAGAGAGCAGATCTGGTAAGGCCTGACATTGCAGTCACAGGTCAGAGAGAGCTCCTGAGAGGCCCCCTTCTTTGAGGGATGCCTGCCTGTCTTGCCCAAGGCGTCCCATCTTACACATGGAGCCTGCATGGGATACACAGTGCAGTAGAGTGATTCTTCTGCCTTCACTGGCTAAGTGTGCTGGGATTACAGGTGTGCACCACTGCACGCTTTATGCGGTGCTGGAGATCGGACCTCGGGTGTAAGCAGGGCATGATAGAACTGACAGGAAGTGACAGAGGCTCTGAGGAAGATGGAGCAAGCTGGAGGTTCCCAGAGGCCAAATAAGATTCTGCCTTTGTGAATGGAGGTTTGACGCCTAAAAGAAGGGGCTAAATTAAAACCTTCAACCCCCCAGAGCAGCAGGTAGCCCATGGCAGGTCTCTGGGGTCCCAGAAATGGGGCTATGGCTTGGGGACATGGATTGAGCTGGCCTGCCACTTGATGGAGGTCACCAAGGAGCAAGTTTTTTTTTTTAAAGTCAGAGTTGAAAGGAACTTGGGATCCATCTAGTGTTAGCGTCCTATGCTACAGACTCATGGTGGCTAAAATTTCCAGAAGCTGCATGGGAACCCTATACTCTCCTTCCTTCTAGAGGCATAGCCCCACCCCCAGCCCCAACACCCTCCAAAACATGGGTTCCATGGTCCCAACCTAACTCTGGGTTGCTCCTTCCGTCTCCTCTCCCATCTGCAGGAAATCCAGATGCAGAGGGGCTCCTGTCCCCTCCACAGCTGTGCTTTCGCAGCTCCTGCAACCGCTGCCTGTGTAAGTGGTTCCTAGAAACAGCTCCTGGGCGGTTGTGTCCTCCCACGGGAGCCTCTGGGAACTGGGGGAGGGACTTCTCACCATGAACTTGGCTCTTGCCTGCTGAACTAATGCCGCCGGCTTCACCCCTCACCCCACCACATCCGGCATCTGTAAGCCAGTGTCCACATCTCAGCCCAGGGCAGTAACTCGGCTTGCTATCCCCTCCAAGCTGGAGCTAGATGTGTCTCCCCAGTAAAGTGCTCTGGGAGTGCAACTGTTGGGAAACCTTTCTGGGAAGCCTCCCGAAGAAACCTGTGAGCTACAAACCCAAGCAGAGAAGGGAAAGTGACCCTCAACATTCAGGAACCTGGCTTGAAATACCCTTGCTCCTTAACCTGACCGATTAAGATCATAAGAAGCCTCTTTTGATATATAAAATCTATACCCATTTCTTCATGGTTTTTACTAAAAATGTCCACAGGATTAGCCAGATGAACTCAAGGGAAAAGAGTCAGGTTGGTAAGGACACCCCTATGAATACTCCACTGGCTCTGATGTGGTGGCAGATTGTCTCCTCAGAGTCGGCAGCTCCTTTCGGTCCCTGAGGAGGAAGGCATTTTGCCCATGTCTGAAAGGAGTAACCCCAGGGGCCCTGTCCATCTAGACTATCTCTGACATCAAGGAAATTCAAGGTCTGTAGGGTGGGGGATGGGAGCACTGCCTGGATGGATCCCTGAGTGGGACATGGAGCTCAGGACTGGGTGAGTGCTTCCCTTTGGGAAAGAGAGTCTGATGGGGGAGGCCTTGAACACTTCCTCTGGACTCAGCCCCCAGCTGCAGCCTCCCGGGTGGGGTTTTATGATATAATAGGATACAAATCCAGAAGACCAAGGGTATATTGTGCAATGCTGGGGCAGAGGCTCTGCTCTTCGTCAGTGGCTTGAAGAGGTGCCAAGTCGTTTGGGCGAGGGTGGGATTCAAAGAGCTGACACTTGTCATGCAAGAGCCACATATCTGTTCCACCCCTTGTCTATGATACTGGACCCCTGACCCTTTGAGCACAATGACGTGCATGTCACACATGATGCACGCACATTATATAAATCCATGCTACCATTCGGGTGAAGGTCAACCCGGGACAGGGACAGCCGTCTCCTTCCTTGGCTCTCAACAGTGACCCTTCTGAGACTCTGTATTCAGAAGGAGGGCAGCCAGTCTGGGGCCTATGACCCGAGTTTAGTGACGTCACCAGGGATGGAGTTACAGAGGGCCAGAAACAGATGCTGGATGAGGCAGAGGTGCGTTTGGAGGCCTAAGTTGCTGTGGCCATTAATCTAGATTGTCAACTTCATGGAACTTAGACTCAACCAGGAGACAAATCTTTGGGCATGTCTGAGAAAGATTTTTTTTTTTACACACATGTCACAATACATGTGTAGGCCACAGGGCAACTTGGAGAAGCCAAATTTTTTCCCATCATGTGGGGTCCTGGAATTGAACTCAGGTTGTCAAGCTTGGTGCCAGGGGTCTCTACCATCTAAACTATTTCAATGACCCAAGATTTTGTAGATTATATTAATTGAGGTGATATGTTGGTTGGTTTTATGACAGCTTGACACAAGCTAAAGTCACCAGAAAGGAGGGATCCTCAGTTGAGAACGTGCCTACATAAGGTCAGACCGTAGGCAAGCCTGTAGGGCATTTTCTTTATTAGTGATTGGTGGGGGAGGGCCCATCTTATTGGGGGTGGTGCCATTTCAGGGTTGGTTGCCCTGGATTCTATAAGAAAGCAGGCTGAGCAAGCCACGGGGAGGAAGCCAGCAAGCAGCACCTCTCCATGGTCTCTGCATCAGCACCTGCCTCTGGATCCTGCCCTGATTTCCTTTGATGATGAACAGTGATATGGAAGTGTAAGCAGAATAAGCCCGTTCCCCCCTAAGTTTCTTTTGGGTCATGGTGTTTCAACGCAGCGATAGTAACCGTGACTAAGACAAGCAGGAAGAGCCATTGGACAAAAAGGATAAAGCAAGCACCAGCAGGCATCGCTCCGCTTCCTGACTGTGGATGTGATGGTACCAGCAGCCTCGTGCTCCTGCTGCCATGGCGATGGACCACGCTCAAGCTGTGAGCCCAAATAAACTCCTCTTCCTTCAGTTGTTTGGGTCAAGATATTTAGTCACAGCCACGAGGAAGGGACATAATAGATGTGGTCATGGTGGGGCACCCCTTAGCCCTGCATTGCTGGGGTGTTACACAGCGAGGTTGCGGGGAGGGGCTGGGTCTGCACCTGTAGCCTTCTGCGTCCCTCCCACTGCCTTCCCAGTTCCTCACCTGTAGTGTTCCACATAGGCAGTCTGGAGGGACAACTCAGTCAGCTGCATGGTGACTTCCCTCCACACGGGCAGTCCCGAGAGCTGTTTGACGACACTGCCTGCCATCTGCTGTATGAACTTCAGGGTCTGGATGTAGTCACCCCTAGCAGCAAAGATCTCGCTGAGCGGAGCCAGGTGATGTTCTAGGTCCACCTGCATCTTCTGGGTGTTTGCAGCCACCTACGGGAGGTAAGGACGGGGCTAGGAATCTGGCCCTGGGATAGCCACTGAGAAGGTCGCTGCAGGAGGAAGTAGCAATTGGCCAGCTGGGCTTGAAGGGCTGTTCAACACTGACACAAACCTTGAGACTGCTGCCCCAGGGGAATGGCCAAGGACAGAGGTCCTCCGCAGGTCTGGAATGTTCCCCAAAGATCCATATTAAAGCCATGGCCACAGACTTGGTGATACTGGGAAGTGGTAGTTAGGTGTGTGACAGGACTTTAGGTCATGGGGGAGCACCCTTCCTCAAAGGCGACACTGAAACTCTTTCTTCTGCATACATTGAAGTGAGCAGCTCTGCCTGTCATGTGGGCTCACCAAGACCTCTCAGATCAAAGGCTCCAAAGCAACAAGACGAACCAGCATGAGACCAACTAGCATGAGTGGAAACCACGTCGTCGAACCCAAACCAGTCTTTGTCTTTCCTCCCTCTCGCTTTCCTTTTAAAAACCGTTTTATTTTTCAGGAAGCCCAGGCTATATTCCAACTTGCTATGAAGTTGACAATGACCTAGTCCTTGTTCTTGATCCTCCTGCCTCCATCTACCAAGTGCTAGGATTATAGGTGTCCAGACCCTTTTTCTTCATAAATTTGATGACCTTGGTGATTTGTTTAGTGCTGGAAAGCACACACAGCCTGGTTCTGTCTGGCCCTGTTCTAGTTTTCCCCGGGCTTTGGTTCTCCACTCCAAGCCTTTCTGCAGATTCTCTAATCTGAAAACTCAAATCTTAGCCCTCAAACAACAAGCTCTGTACAAATAACTCCAAACTCTAAAATCCCAAACACCTCAGGTCTCCTGAATTCCAGACAGGTGGGGCTCAACCTAGACTCCAAAAAGGCAACTAAACCAATTCATTTTTGTTCTCTAAAATTTGAATCACTTGCAGTTAGGAAACCAAAGACTTAGAGCCCCAGGCTGCCACTTTTTGCTTTAGTCCAATAGGATTCCCAGGCACCCGGCAAGAGAAGGGGTTTGTCTCTGAGCTAGAATCAGCTTGTAATGTCCCAACCGCAAGGCAAGGCAGAACAATGGGGCCTTGGAAGCAGAGAACAGATGCTGTCTCCTCCCAGCCTGGCTCTGGGGCAGCAGGAGGAAATCAGTGTCTTCTCTTGGACTCACAGCCCCCCACTTCCCAGGACGTCTGTCCTGCTAGGTGGGTATAGAGGCACCTGTCCTTTGCTTTGGCCTTAAGTGCACCCCAGAAGAACATCCACCTACACAGACCAAAATGAAAGGGTGATGGCAGTGGCTGTCCTTGTCAGCTCCCAAACAAGGGGCAAGGTGCAGCTTACACTGCAAATGTCATACTCAGGGGCTACCAGGCTTGGGGTCACAGCCCCACAGCCATCTGAGCAGAGACAGCACGTTTGCAGCTAAAGGAGGAAGGGCTTTGTTTCTGTTTTGTTTTCAGATAGGGTCTCCGTAACTGCCCAGACTAGCCTGGAACTAGTTATGGAGTCCAGGTGGACTTGAATTTGAGATCCTCCTGCTCCAACTTCTGGATAGCTGACACTACAGGACTCTGCTGCCAGGGTCTAGCTTTGAGGCCTTGACATTGTCATAGACAATGCATAACAAAGCAGTTAATGGAGGACAAGGTACCTGGTTAATCCTTACCCAGCAGTCTTGGCTCCCATAGCCTGCAGGATAAAGACACAGCAGAGGGGCAGAGGAGGGCATAGCTATGGAGCCAGGAGAGCATTCTGAGCTCAGGAATCATGGGAACTTGACATTAATCTTGTGGTTCTTCATGTCTTCCCTACACTGTGACTTCCTGATTCTAGCAGAGAGAATGGCTCTGTTTGCTGTGTGTCAGCGCTTGCTTCTTCCGTTTTTCTGGTTTCAGCTGAGCTCTTAAGAGACAGTGAGAGATTAAGAGACACCAAGACAGAGACAGCTAACTGGGAATGCTGATTCGTGCCAGTAGAATCCTAGCACTTGGTGGAGGCTGAGGCAGGAGGATTGTCTTGAAGTCAAGACCAATCTGCACTACAGACAAACCCTTGTCTCAAAACAAAAAAAAGCCCTCCTCCACAAAAAAAGAGACAAACCAAAATTTTAAACTTTGTCTTAGACTTTTTCAAGTTCTCTACCCCCACTTGTGTGCATGCACATGTGTGTGTGTGTGTGTGTGTGTGTGTTGACAGAAGATCTCACGCAACCCTACAATGATCTTGAACTCCTGATCCTTTTGCCCCCTCCCCCCGAATCCTGGGATTATAGACCTGCACCATCAAGTCTGGCATTTCAGTCTGTTACTGTCAAGGGTTACCTTAAGAACAGACAAATCAAGGTCGGGCATGTAGCTTAGTTGGCAGAGTGCTTGCTTGCCTAGAATGCAGAAGGCCCTGACTTTGATTTGAAGCATCCAACAGTTTGGGTGTAGCACTGAACACTATGATCTCAGCACTCAGGAGATGGAGGCAGGAGTTTAAGTTCTACCCTGGCTATGTAGGGAGTTTGAAGCCAACCTGAACTATCAGTGATCCTGACTCAAAAACAAACAAACAAACAAACAAATCCCTCTCACAAACAACAAATCCCCAAATAAACAGAAACCCAAGCAAAAATAGAGAAGTTAAAAATTTAGAGAATAGTCAGGTGTGGTGGCATATGCCTGGTCTACACAGCGAGTTCCAGGACAGACAGGACTCAGTAGAGACCCTGGCTTAAAAAAACAAAACAAAACAAACAAAGCCACAGTTAGAGAATAGACCAGGATTGGTGTCCAAGGCCTGTAATCTAATTGCTTAGAAGGCTGAGGCAGGAAGGTCTGGAGTTCTAGGATAGCCTGGGCTACATAGTAGAACCTTGTAGATGAGAAAGAAAGAAAAGAAACAAAGCCACATGTCGGTAAACATCTGTCAAGTCCATCTTTCCTTCTGGTATTGTTTCATGGGAAGAGATACTAGATTGATCAGATATGTAGATAGATAGACGGACAGACAGGTGATATAGCACATCACAACAGTGGCCTCCCTGTAGCTTGTGCTTGCTCACATGGTTCCCAGCCCTTGAGGTTCAAAAAGACAGAGGTGTGTTGCCCCCAAGAAGGACTGTGGCTTTCTCTTGGGAACTGAGGATGAGGGGGGACAGCTCAGCTCCTCCACCAGCTGGGGACCAGGACCAGCTAGAAGGTCACTGGGTGTGGTTTTCAAATTGTGGTCCCCAGGCCAGCAACAGCACCCAGGGGCTCATTACAAATGCAAATGCTCAGCCTGCCTGAGGGGAATAGGAGCCCCAGCAGGGTGGGGCCTGCTGCCACAAATCCTAACTACCTCTAGGTGATTCTGATTAAGTGCCTGGTTGAGAACCTCTGGGAGAGGGAGAGGGGAAGAGTGGGAGAGAGAGAGAGAGAGAGAGAGAGAGAGAGAGAGAGAGAGAGAG